GCCATACTGTTAAAATAACAGTGCATGTGTGGGGAAAAAAGGGCCTTCCCTTTCCCTTCCTATTTTTTTCTTTTCCCTTCCATTCCCTCTCAAAAAAAACCTAAAAAATGTTTCCCCTTAAAAGGGAAACATGTGTAAAAAATGTGCCCATAATAAATTAGTGAATACCTACAATGTATAAGAAAAAAAATTATTACTATGTGTATTAAATAGGAAAAAAAATAAGATGAAATCTGTATATATCCTCCCCATGTGTATTTTTCACCCCCACAGCCTTCGTGTTATAAAAACACTGTATATTTGAAGAGAGAAAAAAAAAACTATTTTTTTTAGAGGTGCACCGAAATGGAAATGTTAAAACCGAAAAAAAAACGAAATAAAAAAAATCTCAGGCCGAAACCGATACCGAAAACGTTTTTTATTTTTTCACATTTTTTTATATTGTATTTATTTTTTATAAAATTTTTATTTTTGTAATATTTATTTTTATTTATTAATTCATATTTTATTAAATATTTTTATTTTTTACTTTACTTTTAGGGGCTTCTGGGAAATATTAGGGGTCTAAACAGACCCCTGATATTTGCCTTTTAAAATAGAAAAAGAGATTGAGAACACAAAGTCCTCAATCTCTTTTTCTGTGTCCCCTGTTATCAATGAACAGGAATCCTCTATACTGAGTGTTCCTGTTCATTGATAACATGAGAATATAGTATGTTTACTGTAACTACAACTATGAATGAATGGGGGTGATGTAGATCATTCCCATTCATTCATAATTGAGGATATAGTTAACATAACATGTCCTCAATTATGTGATTATCTGAAACTAGTGATTGCTCTCGCTCTCCTCTCTGACACGCTGTCACAGGAGGCTGATCGAGCGGTGTAGGGAGGAAAGCCCAGCCTCCTGTGACAGCACTGTCTCCACCCCCACACCGCTCTGCCGGACTGTGATAGGCGGCAGAGCGGTGTGGGAGGAGACGTCGGCCGCTCACAGCGCTCTCCACCGCAGCGCTCGGCCGGCTGTCACTTTCTCTCCTCCCCGCTGGGACACAGAGCAGTGCCCAGCGGGGAGGAAAGAAATCAGGGATGCGCCGATGTATCGGCAGGAAAATTGCACTTTCGGGCATTATGTTTCGGCGGCCGATATATCGGTGCATCCCTAATTTTTTTATGTCTCTTTTTTACTAGTATCGGTATCGGTGCTGATACAGAGTATTTGGGAAAGTACTCGTACTGACTCACTGTCCAGCTTCCTGATTGGCCGGGAAGTCGGCTCCACGCTGTTTGGCCGGCACCATGCTGATTGGCCAGGAAGCCAGCTTCCCCACCAATCAGCATGGAGCCAACCAAAAAGCATGGTGCCAGCTTTCAAGCCAATCGAGAAGCTGGTCGGAGTGTAATCAGCATAACCTGCCTCTTGGCTTCCTGATTGGCTGGGAAGCTGGCTCCATGCTGATTGACTGGGACCCGGTTTTACGAGCCAATCAGCATTCAGTCGGCCAAACAGCATGGAGCCAGCCAAACGGCATGGGGCCAGCATCCAGGCCAATCAGGAGACCGGGCAGCAGTTAATGACCTGGCACAATGTTACACATTTTTTGGACCTGCCAAAAAGTGCGTCCCTTTTGGGATGCAGTTCTGGAGATAGTCGAACAATTGACCATAGCAAATTTGAAGGACAACCCAGCAGCTTGCTTGCTCCACCTAGTGGATTGTTCCATCCGCAAATACATGTCATCTTTAACCGTACATTTATTGAATGCTGCACGTATGTGCATTCCCTTTCTTTGGAAATAAACCACCTTAACATCTTTACGTATGTGAATTGACAAAGTGGATGACATTTTTTGCATGGAAGACCTCACTTTCACTCTGAAGAAAACGAAAGAGAAATTTGGGTCCACCTGGGCCCATGGCTGGCCTATCAATATTCTGATGCTTATCTCCATGTGAAGTCCGGAAGCTTTCCTGGTTGAACCCTTGCACTTTTTTCAAGGGCGGACTCCTATGTTAGTTCTCATTGATAGTGTGTCAAGGGGGTCGCTCTCCTGCAGATGGTGATTGTCCCTTTACGCCCTCAGTATTCTTTTATTTGATTCATTAACCTGGAATGGGACCCACTTTATTTTTTTTTAATTAACCCTCTGTGGATTGAATCTTTGTTGCTATGATGCTGCAACCCACAGACTTAACATATGGATATGGATATTCGACTACATGTCTTATCCAAACATTTTGCAACTCGCTCGTTTTTTTTTCCCCTCTTTTGATTGTTATTATATAATTGTTTGTGTTATATTTTGCATCGATTCTGTATGTTTTACTTAATTTTAAAAAACAATTTGAATTAAAAAAAAAAGACTATTTATGCCTCTTTGGGGATAAATGTGGAGAGACACCCCCATCTGCATATACCTCATTCAGCTTCCATCTTCCTTCCCTACACGGCGAGCTGCTCTCAACCACTTTTAGAAGACACTCCTTCAGGGCATCTTAATCATACCCAATCAATGCAGGCCATGTTGTCATTCTATACTATTGCAAAAAAAGTAGGTAGTGTAACTAACTTTTTTTTACTGATTTTGCAGGGGAAAAGAATTTGAAGGGATCTCCACTGTACATGCAGACATCCTTTAAATAAAGATGTCTTAACCATGTCTTATTCTATCTAGCTGGAGTAGGACTTATAATTTAGTTATATGGGGATAAAACACTTTTTTGCAAATATACCTTTTAAAAAGTTTAGTTACCCTATGATTCCATAATAATATAAGTCCAAGAAAATACTATCACAAAAGCATAAGCATGTACAAAGTTACAGTTCTCCTTTAAGTTGTGTGAAAGTATTATTATCCTTCAAATACAAAAATGTAATTTATTGAATATTTATGTGTTACTGGAATATGCTTTCGACTGTCTTTTCTGAACAAGAAAAATTGTGATAAAATAATGTATTAAAATCTGAGAAAAAGAGAAACAACACATTCTAGTATCAAAGATGAACTAATTTTGTACATTTTACTACTGCAGGCCTTAAACAGCTATAATGATGGGGATATCGACGGATCAAGGAGGTTGGGACGTAATGCCATGTATGTTGCAATTGCATCAATACTCATTGGTCTAGCGGTTATTACAACGTATTGTGTTGTTCATTTTTCAACGGTATGTGGCCTTTGTTTTATAACTGCATAAAAAATAGCATTCCATTTCTTCTTTATAATATTTTAATGTGTGAAGATCAAATTAATTAATTTGCTGATTCTGGCTGTGTAACTACGCTTGCTGCTAATATCACAAAGCCTAAAATATAAAACAACTTGCATGAGTAGATAACGTAGTATTAACAAACACAAATATCACAAAGCCTAAAATATAAAACAACTTGCATGAGTAGATAGTAGTAACAAACACAAATATGGACCTAAGTGCCCTTCTGCTGCCCCCCTAATGAGATGCCAACTGAGGCGACCACCTTTATAGGGACAGCCCTTCTTATAGTACATGCTCACCTATAAAAGGCCCCCTTCCCTATCTTCCTCAATAGTGCTAACTGTCCCTACTTTGTCCGATGGCTGCATCCTCCTGTCGGACCTGTTCGTTCTGAGCTGCCAACATCCTATACACATCAAGATCAAGAATCAAGAATGAGACTTACCTATACTACTACAGGTACAATGACATCTCATTTGGGTTTATAGGACATCAGTACACAGGCATGGGCAGACCACCCCTTCATTTTACTGGGAGGGCTGCAGACAGCCATTGGACTAGGTAAGTACAGACCTGTGGTGGACGTGGGGAATAGCTAGTGATCTTGAAAAGGCTTGGGTGGGTGGAGGTATTTTTTTTGTGGTGAACATGTACCGTTGGGTTTTGTGTATATCTGCCTGAGGCTTTGTTATCGAGGTCCCATTCCCTTGTTGGATTTTTCATTTAATATTGTAGAGAATGCAGCCAGATTAGTGTTAACACCCAAAACACCAAGGTGGACCACAAACTATGGAGCAAAGATCTTACTGCTGAAAATAATATAAATCGAGCAGAAGACCATAACTTAAATGTATAGCTTTTAGATGGAGTTAAACTTTACATCTGAATAACATCAGATCTAAATCCTATGGCAACCAGTGGATTGTGAGCCGCTTGTGGTTATCAGAAACCTTTGGTGTTGCTTATGACAGCCTCTCACTGTAAGCTTAGCATCTGAAACTTGCTCCAGTATACGCTTCCTATTAACATTCACTGTACTGTCTACAATTATTAAGAGAAGATGGTTGAATTATTTTTTACATTTTTTTATTACTAATGTTTTTTGCCACTTTATATTTTAATGTAGCTCACAAGGTAACAAAGGTTTCAGACCTACAAGTATAAAAGGAAAATATGTATTAACAGGACTTAAAGATTAGTTAGTAGAAATTAAAACAACAATGTAACATTAACTGTATGTGCATAGCTAAATTTGCCATTTGCTACTTTGTTGTTATACTGGTCAGAAAATACATAATATGACATCACAACTGTCACCATGTCCTGTTAAAAGTTATGGAACTCAAAATAGATGTTCCAGATCTAGATACAGGCTCATTGGATTACACTGCATGCTTAAACAGGAACAGAGCCATAAATAAAAAAAATATATGACTGCAAAAATATGTCAGATTTTGTATCTTAGTTTGAAAATATACGAGAGTGATGAAAAAAAAATATTTTAAGAATGTTAGAGAAAAGATCATTAGGTCTTGCATTTTATGTGCAGTAACTATGATTATTTTACTAGACCAGGACTAGTTATTTAATAGGTATTTACTTGGCTACATTTAAAGTCGAGGAAAAAGGCATTTTCTAATTTGTTGCACGCTTTGCAACTTAGCCAATGATTAGACCAGTGGTCCCCAAACTATGGCAGACGGGCCTATGGCTCATCTGCCCTTAATATCCTCCCCCAGGACCAGAAAGTTTGGGAACGGAGGATCGCTTCTGGGACTGGCAGTGGTGACAGCGCTCTTCACAGGTAAGTGTGTGTGGGGCAGGGGCACAGTAAGGAAATTTTTTTACCCTAATGCAGAGAATGCATTAAGGTAAAAAATAACCCTACTTTTAAAACTACTTTAAAATAATAGGGATGCACCGATATATCGGCCGCCGATATTGTTTTTTGTTGTATCTGTATTGTTAAGGGGATTATATTTATAGAAGTATATATTTTGTTGGAGCTACACATGTAAAAAATATTTTAAAGCCATTGGACTTACAGCAAAACTTTCCTATGTATGTAGTGTGTTGTGATTACTTTATTGGTAAAACATCTAAGGCCCCCTTCACACTGTCCAATCAGGATGAATCAGATGTTATCGCTGTGACATCCATGTCCATCCAGTTTTTTCATCCATAACTTTGCTAATAATGAGAAAACTGAAATGACTGGACCCCATGTCAGCCTATGTAAATGGATGTATATGGTCTTGTGTTTACATCAGATTAGCCCTGATCTGGCACGACCAGATCTGGCGAAAGGACCAATGTTCCGTTTGTTCTTCTGGACTTGTCCGTTTAGATTAGGCTGCCGATAGACTTACACCGGGCATTCGATTGGCTCCGCCTGAAAAACTGACAGGGGGACATGATTGGACTGCCCATCTGAACAAACGTGTAGAGATTTTTAAGTGTAATGACCTTTGCTATAGACTGTAGAGTTGACAATATATGCATGCTGCAATGTCTCTTATTGATTTATTTTATATGTTTTATTTCAGCATACAGTCTGAAGGCCAAACAAAAGATCATGTATGCATTAGTCATGCATTAGGCTATTCAGATCTGCACATGGGAAGAGGCAAGTTCTTGCATTTGAGGATCTTCACCTTCAAAGCAGCCCCAATGGATGCAGATGAATTGTATACATCTATAAGTGTGTGTGCACGCATATATACTGTATATATATATGTGGCTTTAGACATAAAAAACTGTTGATATTTTGCACATCCAGAAGAAATGTTATGTATTTTGATTATTGTTCCCTATACTGGTATAGCCATGCGAGTTCAGAACACACAAGCACTAAGCAATGTGGGACTGAGTTACATAAACATACCTTCTGATTTCCTTCAATGGAAATATGACACTCACAAGGATCCATGGCCAGTGTTCTCTGGACTTCCTGTACTAGAAAATATTTACAAGTGGTGTGCCTACTGGCTTCCCACACCTAGATTGGTGCTCTCATCAATGCCAAACAAATGACATGCTTTGCATTTTTGTTATACAAAAACATTTATATGTTTGATGGTGATCAGTCCATTACAGCACAGTCAACCACACCGTTTCCAAAGAATCTTTTCATATCGCCACTATTCTTCTTTATGTCATCATTAATAACCTGAACACTGAATTCATTTTGATAACTATGCTATATTTATAAATGTTGGTTTGTAGATTTTCTTAACTTTATACTTGAGTAAATTAAATGTTTCTTCCATATTTCCTCTGACACTTGAGCTACGTCTTATTTTAGAGCAGCGTTTCTCAATTTCTTTCAGCCATGGCACCCTTTAAAAGAAAACAAAATCTTACAAAATCAATGCTGAGACATTCATTATTGAATGGTAACCACTGAGAATCAGCGGTTACCAGCATTACAGAGCCGCAAATAACTGGTTACGTACAGTGTATGTGGCCAGTCATATAGGCACTTTGTGGCGGGACGTACAGTGTACGTCTCTCGTCACGAAGGTGTTAAGGAACAACTCCAGGCAAAACTTTTATTAACCCTTGCCATACTGTGGTGTTTTAAACTTTAAAGAAGAACTCTGCGCAAAACTTTTATCAACCCTTGCAGTGAGACTAACCCCGCACTGCAAGGGTTAAGTGCTCATTTTTGTCTATAAAAAGGTTATACTTACTCGAACCGCTGAGCCGGCTCCCTGCTTTTCCGGTCACTAAGGCATGTCTACCCCTATGCTATCGATAATACAAAATCACCTGCACTCCATACAGCATACAGACCTTGTTGAAAGGTATTATGGACTGTATCTACTCCTATGCTGCCGCATTGGAATGTTCCTCAGCGTCCTCACATCTATACACAGTGTATAGAATGTGAAGCTTTACAGGACCTTAGAATGCTGCAGTGGAGGGAGAGAGAGGCTGGAAGGACCGGTATAAAAGTAAGCTGCTCAGCGGTTCAGGTGAGTTGACAAAAACAAGCACTTAACCCTTGCAGCACGGCGGTAGTCCCACTGCAAGGGTTAAAAAAAGTTTTTCCCTCTGCGTTCTTCTTTAAAGCTTTAAACATCACAGTATTACTAAAACATGCAAAAAAAACTACAGTCTGGCAAAAGTATAAACTGTTTGTTTTGCATGCAAAAATACGCTTTCTGGCCTTTAAAACTGTTTGTAATTCTGGCTTTTTATCTCAGAGATGTGACTATTTATTTTAGAATGCTTTTTATCTTAGAAATGTTTCTTTTATTCTTATAGGTTTGTTTTGGAAAAATTCTAAGTTTGTATCTAAGTCTCAATTACACTGAGCTCCCTCATCATCACAAAGAAGTGAATGGGTTTAAATTTCCCATACTAGCAGAATATTGATATATAATAGTACAAAACAATATGCTGTTGTAAGATAATATTACTGGCTACACAGAAGGGACTCTTCAGAACCAGATCTGCACCTGCTGCTGCTTCCCAAGAAACCCTGTAAATGCTTCAGTGGATGCTATCATTTAATTGTAGGAGAATCAGCAGATCATTTGCACATACAAATAAAATAATCTGACAGAATTGAAAGTTGTTTCCAAACATAAACATAACATAAAAAAACAAGTTAATTCAGTTATGTACTGAACATATGTCTTAAATCTGTGACTGTCCTAATAATAACTTACCATAACCCCCTGAAATCAGATGAGTGCCATTTACTGAGCTATTTAGCAAATGGCAAAGATAGTGAAGGTTCCACATGCTTAAAGTGACATTAAAGTCACAACCCCCCCCCCCTCCCCCCCCCCCCCCCCCATGCTGCTTTAAGGACTTCCCTTAAATGATGCCTCTTGATCCGATCATCTTTATCTTTCCAGTAGTTTTCAGGAGTCCCTCCAGTTCTGGTGCCGGTCTCTGATCCAGCGCTGACTGCTATGGTACGGGTGTACCTGCACACTGTGTACTGTTATTTTATTTCATTAGAAAAGTGGATTATAATGGGGGACATTACACTGTAATGTTGCCTATTATATTATTTTTCGCTGATTAAATGATTACAGACAGGGCCGCTGTTCTATCAAAGTTTGTGACTAGGTTGGAATGTGTGACCGGTGCCCTGGAATAGCTGTTCGGTCCTGAAATGTTACTTCTATCCGACTTTGTGAGGGGTGGAATGTGAGCTCACATTTACAAAGTCGGATAGAAGTGACATTTCAGGACCGAACAGCTGTTCCAGGGCAGATCAGCTCTCCTGCACATACGATTTGCGATGCCGATCTGCCCTGGAACAGCTGAGAAAGCATTGGAATGCTTGACCTATTGAGGGGCAGCAGGGGTGTGGAATTCCTATAGCCTGATGCCTGGGACATGTAGTTCCAGGCGCCAGGCAAGTAGTTGTTTTCTACATTTAGACCTGCTTTGGGCAAGCAGAGCTAAATGTACAGCGGGGGAGCCGCTGCTTGTTGTCTACAAATGATCTCGGCAATGCCACCCAGATCACTTGTATGCAGCCTGCAGGTCTGCCATTTAGAAGGGGGGAGCATTTAGGAACCTGGCCTTGGGGCAGCAGAGAGAGTCAATTTTCTCTGATAGAAAACCGCCATCATTACATGAGTATCAGCTGCACCAGGGGCGGCAAGGCAAAGGTGACAGGGAAGGGGGTATTTACATGCTGTCTAAGAAAAGCATACAGTTGGTAAAACCCATTTAATTATACAACTGGTGTCAGGGTAAATGAAGACGCCTACATACTATTTCCTCTACTCTTGATGGTTTACCATTTTAACATTTTACATTTATTTCAAATGGGTTTTGATATTGATTTTAGGTAAATTATATTTTTGACTGACATGACTTGTCAATGTTGAAATGATTTTAATAATTTTTTTTATTATTATTCTTTTATTTGGTATGTTGAGGTTATTATCTTACTGAAACTCTATTTTCCTTTTTATTCAAACTGAAAATCACAGTAATTAACTAAATGCAGACACGTGAAGTGCCTGCAGGTGTCTTTGCAGGTGCATTATTGCACATTACAAATTAATGTTACAAGGGAATAGCTATTATACAATGGAAAAGGCAGTTCAGACATTTAGATGTAAAACAATCTAATAGGACACTGATATTGCACAACATAAGCAAAAAAGGACGAATCTCTTATTTAATATGCTCTTGATTTGAATGTTTATTAAACTACATTAGATTATGGTTTTCTTAAATTGATGTGTAATTAAATGAGTTAAACTGAAACAGAAGGTGCCAAATCATGCTTTTACTGACTCCCCACCTGCATCCTATAATCCAATGCTTAGCGCTTGAGAAACTCATAAGTAGGTCAAGGCATTGCTCATGGTCTGACATTGTTAAAGTCAGAATTTGAATATGTACTTGAAAGTGTCCCTGTGTGAGAATGTGCATATACTGTATACTTCACAGTGGCTCCAGGGCACTCTTAGTGGATCAATAGATCAAAAGTAGTATTGAACTCTCAAACTCTTTTCAATAATTAATCCAGATAAAATATAATTGCCCAGCACTTACAGTCATCATGTTTCTGAACAGCTTCAACTCTCTCAGCTCGGCGTCCCTGAACTTTCTGTCCAGTACAAGATCACAAGGAACAGAGCAGTCTCCAGCAGCTGAAGGGAGCAGTGGTGGAATATGAAGTGGCAGTGTTTCTAGCTGGCAGAAACGTGCACTGCCTGGGGTGTTGGAGCTTAGTGTCACAGGTGCTGGAAGTCAGTGGTGGAAGGGTAGGGGTATTGGTGACAGGGAGCTGCAATGTCAGGCTGCAGCATGTCGATGGTACTGGGTTCTTCATAGGCCGAAATGCAAACATGGTTTACTTATAAGCCTGCAGGGAGGCTTATGAGCACTGAAAAGCATTCACAGAGCAATCTCCAGCAGCTGTCCATCTACTTGCTTGGAGAAGAGAGGAGGAAGGAAGGAGGAGAGAAGTGTCTTCCCTTGCTGTGCCTGTGTATTTGTGGAGACACACACAGCTAATTAGTACACACAAGTGGGGCTCCATAGGACCCTGCAAGGGAAAGGAGCCATCCTAAGGGGTCATTTCCACCAGCTCGTGCACTCATCGCACTATCCTGTGCCCGGAACACAAGGGATCGCATACACAAGGTCTCCTTGTGTTCTGAGGCACAGGACTATGCCTTGCGTTCCAGTGTGGTGAGATTGCAAAAAATAGTGTACGCACAATTCTTTGTGATTGTACCGCACTGGAACGCAAGGAGACTTTGTGTATACGATCCTTTGCGTTCCGGGCACGGGATAGTGCGATGAGCGCACAGGCTGGTGGAAACAAGCCCTAAAACAGGATATCCAGATCAGTGCTCAGGGGACCAGTTGACTTTGACTCTTTTAAACATCAAGCAGTAGCAGCCATTGTAAGTGATTTAATCAGCATTTAAGATAGCTTAAAAACCTTTTGACTTTAATATCACTTTATTAAAAGGTATGATGTGACAATATGTGGCACCTGTTTTACTCTTTTTTTCCATACAGGCACTTTTTCCTTATTTCAGCATCCATATATGTCTAAACCAGATAGGACTGATCAGGAATAATGTGAATGAATGTTTGTTTTCTGCAGCAAGCAA